AGACCAGTATTTCAGCAATATATTCCAATCATTGAATCAATGATTCAGAAGCAAAGCAGTACAGAAGCAATTCTGATACGGTGATTCTGTTGCAGATAAGTGTTTAAGTTATCAGAGAAATGTGATTAGCGGAAACTAGTAAGTGATAATTTTGCTTTTATCTGGAAGTCAAAAAATGCTTTAACTTAATATAGAGATTTTACTGCTGATTAGTTGCAATAACAATTATATAAACAAGCTCTCTAATATCAATATTAATTCAAGGTATAGCTGAATGCGACAAGTTTATCAACTTTCATCAAATATTGAGGATTTTGAGATTGGAAACATGGCCATTTTCAATAAAGTGGTCTGATATTTATACTAATCGAAATAATATGAATTTTTTGGATGCAGCTAAGATGCCAAAAAATCCCTGTCTTTTAAGAATTATGCTTAACGATAAGGACACCGAGCATTTTATAATTTTCCATTATCATTTGATTAATTAATTCATTTCTTTTTTTAAATTTCTCTTTTGCTCTTTTGAAGCAAATCCTCAAAAGCAAGATATTCTCGGTAATATCTTAAATGTTATGAATAGAATAAATTATTGGCCTGGAGCTACTGAGATTTATTTTGACACATTATTAAAATTTGTCAGTCATGTCATTTTAAATTTCTAACTATTAAGATTTGCCGAAGTATTTTGTTTGCCTTAGAGGAAGACTAATTCAAAAATTGCTTAGCTTATTTCGCTGTATGATCAGATACGATCGTTAAGTTTACCAAGTTTCCATCTATTTTGGATTTTTTCATTATTTATTCTAAATATTTCATTGAAATTTTTGTCAAATATTCTAAGGTATTTTTTATTTTGCCTGTATTGAATGAATCATCGGTGCTTCTTATCAATTTACTTCATAACTTATCAGTTACAAATCTCTTTAATTCAAATTACTTAAATAATTATTGTTAAACTTGTGATCATATGCCTAATCACTAATAGATAATGTCATTAGTGATTCTGAATAGGTATTCAATGTCCGAAATTAATATCATATTGATCAAAAATAGTGAAAAAAGTAATGAAATTTTATATCTTAATTAATTCAAATTATTTAAATAATTAATTTAAGCATGTAATCATGTATATGATTATCAGAAAATAGTATTACCAGCGATTTTAGATGAACGATCAATATCCTATCGATAAAAAATAGTGAAAAAGTTATAAATTCTTGAAATTACAAATTCAATATCGTCCATTTTCTGCTACTTTAACATTTCGCATTTAATATTTTCCATCCTTCAAAATCTTTCAATGTTTTCCCTCTCTTCGTAATACAGAATGTTTTATCCAATCTTTTTTTTTCAATTCCAATGTTATTTTTTTTTTGTTCGTTGTTGAATATAATCAATGATGCATTCAATTACATTTATGAAATCTCTTCAGATTTCAATTCGGTAACTTAAACGATGATGTATCAGTGAATAAAACAAGATAAGATTTGCTGATTCATATCCATAGTTTGATTTTTTTACGAGTGATTGATTTCTTATCTATACAACAATTTCAAGCATTAACTATTATACTAGTAATTAAAGTATGTTTGCGAAGTACATCAGCGATTCGCAGTAAACTTCATTTTTGCGATTCAATTCTTCTCTTACCAATTCCTCATTTTTACACCTAAAAAAAAAGAGCAGAATTCTAGTCTGATTATTTCAACACTGTTAGCCGGTTTATGTTATTTCATAAGATAGATAATCAATCATTTCGTCATATTTGTAACATAATTGTTGAGAATTTTTATTTTTATTTTTAATGCAATCTGTACATGTACACAATGCCTAATGGTATACCATAAAGTAAATCTTTTAGTTTTTCTCTCCTAACCTCAAATAGTTTACTTTGTCTACTTTAGCAGTGATAATTCTCAGTGCAATCATTTCTACGACACCTTTTTTTTTTTTAGCAAACATTCAAATTTTTTAAAATCAAGATTAACATATATTGTTTATTGTCTCGAAATTGTGTAAAAGAAAATTTATTAATATCATTAAAGAAGAATGTATTTAAAGGATTCAAAAACAATAATACTGCGATTATAATGCAAGTTATACAACAATGTGAAGAAGGAATTTGTGTCTATTTATTACCGCAAATAATAAAAAAGGCTCATGCAGAAAATGCAATATTTTCATTCGAGGAAGCAGCAAATCTCCCCGATGAAAGATGCGACCTATCTTGATTAATGACGGTGCTAGAAGTTCAATAGATGAAATAGAAGTTGATGAAGAATAAAATATGCAAATCAAAATGATTTGAAAATCGACGTAGATCGATTAATAAAACTATTTCGGGTAAGTTAAAGTAACACTGTTATAAATTTAAATTCATACTTTACATTTCTTTCAAATGATGTAATCTCCAAGCAATCCGTTTCCCTATATAAACCAACACTGTAATAAAGGACAAAATATCATCAGCGCCAAGAAAAAAGAATAATGTTGCTTGCATGATAGTATGCTAACATCACAATCACCAGAAGAATACCGTAAAAATGAGAAATGTTGCTGAGAATATTGTGCTGCCTGCATTTGATGTAACGGTAAGAGATACGGTACAGTCTAGCTTTTCCAACGGTACATTGACAAGCTCAAATCCAGCATAGTCGGGTGGACTGGCTCGATGACATGAAAGCTGTTGTTTGTCACGAATCTCAAAAAATGAAGGATGTATTGAATGGTTACGAATTATCGTCAGCATCTTAATTTCTCTAATTTAATAAGATAAATGAAAGTATATCAGATAGAAGCGGATCTTTTTTTTTAAGTCTTAAGACAATTTCAATACTTCAGTCGATTGAAATTATATATTTATATCACTTCCCTTTTTCGGACATCTTTGAAATCTATTTAAGCTACAAAAAATGTGGAATACGTACTTTATCGGTACTTCGGACCCATTTGATGTAGGTAATACTCTCACAATTGCAATGAAACGAATTTCTTAATAACAGCGAATTTGGCTGCACATGTTTACCGATTCCTTGTCGGAATATTTCATCCAGTTGACGGATATGATTCCTAGAGAAAATAAATCACGGATGGTTGTAACACAATTACAGAAGCATACAAGGCAAATTACCAACCAGTATTTAAATCAAGCGTCAGCAACTAAGCCTACTAAGCTAGTGAAATACAAGAAAGTAAATACTAAGGTAAAAAAATTTCAATACAAGAAGACTGCAATCAGTTCTCACATAAAACATTTAAAGCGGAAGTTTTTTAGATTTATATCTATGAAATAGAGGAACAATACATCCCAAATGAAAATATATCCCAAAATAGTAATGCATTTCAAGTACTCGAATGTTTCATAAAAAAACACATTTTTCATTTTATTCAAGGAATTTTTTTTTCAAAATTTAAAATGAACAAAAAAAAGAATAAAAAAATTGCTACCTGCTGAGATCAATGGTCTCAATTTTGGATAAACAAGTCGTATTAAGATTGATCGTTTGAAGAAAATTCTGGCGCAAATCGAGGTACCTCAAGGACGGGAATGGACATGGTAAATTGTAGGGTAGTTTGGTTAAATAGTTGTAGCTCAGATCAATATACTGTAATAATATATTGTCAGTAGCGGTTTTTCGGTTAATGATGACAGGAGAAGGAAGTTTAAGTTGTCACATTCCTCAGCTTCATTATCATTGTTACTACTCTTTATCCGACAATAAATGATCTCTCATGATACAATACATTACTTTACCATGTATTCATCAACAACTTACTTTTTTGGAAAAAAAAAAACTTTCTGGTATTCAACAATGCTATGCACTTAATTAGTGTTTTACGCCTTCCGGAAGTAGCAAACGTTGTTCAAGCATCAGTAAGATATTTTTATTTTTAAAATTTGAAAAAAGAATTACAGTTAGCTGCTGTAAATTAGCTTCCCTGAACATTCGCATCATCAGCGAAAATTGTACGGTACGATTGACAAGAAGCGTGAATGCTCGCCTCAAATATAGCTAAAAAAGAAATGTATATAGGATGGAACTTTTTATTATTTATTGATTGCATAAATTCACATAAATTGGTAAGTTCAATCAATCTGACATATTAGTATTTAATACATTGAAAGTTTAATTAAGCTAAAATTGAAATTAAAATTCATTCTATAGTTCCTATTCAGAACTTCATCTCGAAGTTCTTTATTGTCAATAAGCGTCACTATCAATTCCCAAATTAATGTTATTCACTCATTACTCCTCATCATGCAGGTAGGATGGATGCAGACAGCGAATGAAAATTGAATCTGATTCCACTGGATTAATTTGCAATTTGGATAGTATTTTAAAATATCAAATAATCTTTATTTAAATTTATATTCCGAGAAGCAGCGTATATTTCCCCGCACCAACAATCAATCATCAAAAAAAGTCTTTTCTTCCCTTTTCTTTCCCAATTATATTCCCAAAGTTCGACTCACCTGCTTCAATTTTGGAGTATGTGACAAAAAATTGATATCCTCTTCTTTCAGTACTATTTCGTTATTACTCAAATCGAGGACCAATAAATTTGGCAATCCCCGTAGTGCATTCGAATGCAGATTCACAATGTAATTTGCAGAGATATTTAGCACCTGCAATAAAAAGTGAACTAAATTTAATTAAGAAATTAGCCATTGTTGCTCCACCATTACAATTTTATCCATTGATCAATTAGATTTTAATTTCGATAGTTACATAACTTTAATCTTAAGACGAAATCTGAACTGGAAGGAATAAAAGCGCCAATTTTATCAATAGTTTGTTTATTTGAAAATTTAACAAAAGCTCCCAGTGGTGAGAAAAAAATCCCAACATCTATTTCAATATTTCGAATCACCTCGAGATTTTCATGTTGATGTTGTCCAAATAATGGGCTATCGGGTAGATCTTGAAAGTTATTCCCATGAAATGTCACTTTCCGAAGATGCCTGGAAAGTGAAGAAACAATTTCATTGTCATTGGACAAAACACAAATAACACATGGAATTTAATTACCACTTGTCCTGTATTAACAATGAAATTCGAATAATTAATATACATTAATCACCTGTAATGATTATTTACATGGAGGAAAACATCTGTATCAACAAACTGAGCATTTATGCAAGATAATTCGCTATCCTGCTCGCGACATTGACAAGCTGCATAATCACTCAGCGAACCTTGGCATTGGAGGCGAGAATTTGGATCCTAAAGATCAGATTAATCAATGATTATTATCACTTAATCTGCATCTTTTTTTTCTCTCTCTCCCTTATAATTACAGAAATACATCTGCTGACATTCATTAGAAGCATTCTAATGAAAGATGTGATTAGTAATAACATATAATGAGTGATAATAGGTCAAAGAAAAAAAAAAAAACCTACTTCCGAAATAGCCTGTCGCTTAGCTTTTACTGCACCAAAAGCGCAGAAAGCCAGAAAAAACCGGACTACATGCAACAATGCGACAGTGAACTGAAAAAAATGAAAATTGGTTAACTTTAAGAAATTCAACAGTTTTAGTTTACGTAACTCTTTCTATCTAATGTAAAATCATTTTCCTTCAATAAATCTACTCTTTTGATCTCCCTGTTCATTTTTAACTAGAAATTTTAAGAAAATAAAATTGTTACACATATAATTATGTCATTGCACAATGACCTGGAGACATCATTAACCTTTGACACTTTCTAATCTTCTTTCAAAAATTCATCTCAAAACTAACTATATATTTTCATCCTTCAAGGCTAATTAAATGGGATAAAAATTTGACAATGGTATGCCTTAGTACAGTGATTGATTCTAATTGATAAAATAGATGTGAATTATATTTTATTCATTCCAGTAACTCATTAAGTAAATGAGATATTAAAAAGAGAGAAAGGGAGAGAGAGAGAGAGAGAGAGAGAGAGAGAGAGAGAA